AATCCGCCCGCCCATCCATCNACCTCGAAGACAAAGTCAAAAAGCGAGTCTTGCTAAGCCTTGTGGCCTAATTAGGGGAATCGTCTCTCTATGAAACCCTAAGAACAACAAAATTAGGGAAGAAGAAATTGCAAGAGAGTAAAGGGAAAAGACCAGAGAGAATTCGAAGAGTGAGGAGGTAACCATTAATCCAAGTGAATTTAAAGCTAACGGTGCAAAGGGATTCGAAGTGGGCAACATGCGCGAGAAACAAGGAGAGAAATGATTATTAGTAACCGTCAGAAACTTGTCCGCACGTGCATCAAGGTCGCTGAATTGGGGCCCACTCTATTTCAGTTTAAGTTCTGATCAAGCTAGCTTGGACCAAGGGCTAGGGGAACTGATGATACCTAAAATAAATTACAAGTACGAGCTCGGTTAAACCCTTGCTCAAGCTAGCTTGAACCAAGGGCTGGGGGGCAACTGATGATACCTCAAATAAATTACAAGTACGAGCTTGGTTAAAGAGGTCAGGAAGGGAGGTCAAGTAAGATCTCCAGATCTCAGAGGTCCAGACCTCGAGATCCCCAAGGGCCAGCAAAGGAAGGCACAAGGAAAGGCCAACTAGATAATAGAAGGCATCCCCGAAACAAACAGCCAGGCTACAGTCAAGGCATAAGGCTCTCAACCAACCAAGATCCTCTCCTAAGATCAAGGAGAATTCCTCGGATAAATGGTAAGGATCTCGATGCAGATCCCGCAGAACTAGGGACAGCCCTATAAATACTATGTGATGCCCCCAAAAGAAAAAAAAAAAAGAGAATGCTAGTGATACACACTCTATTCTGTAAACCTTTTCGATTATCAATAAAGAGAAAAGGAGAAAAAACCTCCATTGAAAAATGGATTAGCCGAACTTTCGATCTGGTGAACCACTATATTTTCATTGTGTCAATCCCCCAATCTCCAATCAATACCAGTCATTATTCTCTCGAGCCTTGTAGCTCAGATCCTAATAGCCACATACTGCTCATCTCATCTGTTCATTATCAGAAAGTTGCACTACGTTGATTTACACCATCGGTAATGATGGCCAAGTTGTACATTCAAATTATATTACCAAACACAAAAAGCATAGCAAGAATAAAGAAGACTAGACGAACCAAAAGTGTCAAGAATGGGGTCCATATAGCACCTGAAATTACATCCGAATAAGTTCACTAATGCTAGAAATCCGACCTAAAACATGATATTTCCAATGGGCAGAAACTTATTAATTAAACACCCTCACCCATAATCCGGCCATTCCAAAAATTAACCATCAAAGCAATTCAATATAAAAATTACAATCCGACCACATAATTTAAAATCAAAAATAAAATTGTTACACATTACAAACCCTAAACCTAGATGTTAATAGGTTCATCTGTCTAAAATGGGACTGTTTCAAGCTAGCTTAAATAACAATCAGTTTATGGTTTTGAAGTAAAATAAGTCAGGTCCATTTGGACCTTGGCTTTTTTACCAACTTATGTAACAGTTTTTTGGACCCAAAAAGATTTAAACTGATTCAAGAAGTTAATTTTATGAGTTTTTCTTTCGACTTTTTAGAGTTTTGTCACAAATCTCACATAACTTTTTAATTTATTATATTCATAAAATATTACTAGTTACGTAAAAAAAAATTGAAATTCATATGATGANTCCACCCACTTTGTTTGGAAAAAAAATGACCATTGAAAGTTGGATGACATATTCCTTTAAAAAAAAATTATTTANTTCACCCTCTTTGTTTGGAAAAAAAAATGACCATTGAAAGTTGGATGACATATTCCTTTAAAAAAAAATTATTTACTTAAATACAAAGCTGAATAATCTAGGATATTATTTATTATTCATTTATTCATTATTTACTTAAATACTAAATAATTCTTCTCAAATAAAATTATTCATTATTTATCATGTTGANTTTTAACTTAAATACTAAATAATTCTTCTCAAATAAAATTATTCATTATTTATCATGTTGACTCTATTTTTAATTCAAAAATGTAATTTTTTTTTAAATGAATATGCATATATTAAAAAAAAAAAAAAAAAAAAGACCCACCCACTAAGCCGATCTAATAAGTGGCAGATTGCGTTGTGGTAGCCTATCCCTATCAGAAGCCCAGTTCGGCCCGCCTAATAACTCAATCGAGTAAGAATTTAGGTCTACTCTAGTCAAGTCCAGTTCAAAAAAAACTTCACGAGCCCGGTCCATGAACACCCCTGTGTAGAAGTATAATGTTAAATGTGATAGTTATGTACTATTTAGGGGTTCACAAAGCAACATAGTGGTTTATTATTGAATTATGATACTACGCGGTATTCACAAAATTGTGGTATCACCCTAGAAACGACTATCCCCCCCCCCCCCTCTTCAACGACTNGGATTAGCCGAACTTTCGATCTGGTGAACCACTATATTTTCATTGTGTCAATCCCCCAATCTCCAATCAATACCAGTCATTATTCTCTCGAGCCTTGTAGCTCAGATCCTAATAGCCACATACTGCTCATCTCATCTGTTCATTATCAGAAAGTTGCACTACGTTGATTTACACCATCGGTAATGATGGCCAAGTTGTACATTCAAATTATATTACCAAACACAAAAAGCATAGCAAGAATAAAGAAGACTAGACGAACCAAAAGTGTCAAGAATGGGGTCCATATAGCACCTGAAATTACATCCGAATAAGTTCACTAATGCTAGAAATCCGACCTAAAACATGATATTTCCAATGGGCAGAAACTTATTAATTAAACACCCTCACCCATAATCCGGCCATTCCAAAAATTAACCATCAAAGCAATTCAATATAAAAATTACAATCCGACCACATAATTTAAAATCAAAAATAAAATTGTTACACATTACAAACCCTAAACCTAGATGTTAATAGGTTCATCTGTCTAAAATGGGACTGTTTCAAGCTAGCTTAAATAACAATCAGTTTATGGTTTTGAAGTAAAATAAGTCAGGTCCATTTGGACCTTGGCTTTTTTACCAACTTATGTAACAGTTTTTTGGACCCAAAAAGATTTAAACTGATTCAAGAAGTTAATTTTATGAGTTTTTCTTTCGACTTTTTAGAGTTTTGTCACAAATCTCACATAACTTTTTAATTTATTATATTCATAAAATATTACTAGTTACGTAAAAAAAAATTGAAATTCATATGATGAGAACTTTCATGCATAATCTATACATAAATGTAATTATTTTTTTATTTTGACATAAAAAAGCCACAAAAAAATGCTAGAAAATCACTCCAAATAGACTTTTTCAATTTTTTCAACTTTTTAAATAATACTTCAAAGAATTTTGAGTGACTTTTTTAACACTCAAACTTTTTTTAGAAGTTTTTTAAACCGCAAACTTTCGCCTAAAAAAGTCAACTCCAAATAGGCATAATTTTTGAATTCTCCATGGTTTTAGGAAAAAAAATGAGAAGAACTTTGAAATCCACCTGATTTGAGGTTTTACCTTACAAAGGCGAAGCGAGTCCGCTAATGAGCTTATCCCAATCTTCTCCGGGGTTCATATTGTTATAAATTTGATTCAATTCATACACAATCTATTTATTATTGGGTTTCTACTGTATTACACGTCTCGTTATTATTATCAATTTCAGACTACCCCACTAATTGACATTCGTAGCCCCAGAGACTTGGTTCAAAAACATAATCAAACCTTTGCTTTTGAGACAGTGTGAAACCAATTCAAATAATTTGATGGGATACGTGAGAACTTTAATAGTACAAGTGGATAGAGTGAGATGGTGGTCAAAATTAAGGGGTTTAAAGTGCAATTTTATCAAAAGTATCGTTTCCATATTTTTCTTTAGTTTCATTTTTGACAATTGTTAGTTGTATTTTTCACATGAAATCTCTTCTTTTTTTTTGTGTGTGTAGATTTGATGCTCAAAACTTCTTGAAGAAGCTCAGAGGGAAAAGCATAATGCTTATAGGAGATTCCCTCACTCGAAACCAGTGGCATTCACTGGTGTGCATCATTTATACAGCAATTCCTAACATCAAATACAAGAAAACAATACAACGCGATGTCTCCACATTCGAATTCCCGGTGCGCCTCAAACTCATTTCAAAAACTTTTATTTCTTTCTTCACTTTTAGCTTTTTCTGCGGATAAGACAAAGTTGGGCAATTTCGAGTATAGTTAACAATAAATCGTGTCAAAATTTAATCAATACTGGTCCGAAATTTGATAAGTCTGATAGTTAGGTCGGCTGAACTCGAACTCAATATGGTTCAAAAGATGGCTTGAATTTGCCCCCAAACCCATTAAATATCTGTTAAAATCCGCCCGCCCATCCATCCACCCACTTTGTTTGGAAAAAAAATGACCATTGAAAGTTGGATGACATATTCCTTTAAAAAAAAATTATTTACTTAAATACAAAGCTGAATAATCTAGGATATTATTTATTATTCATTTATTCATTTTTAACTTAAATACTAAATAATTCTTCTCAAATAAAATTATTCATTATTTATCATGTTGACTCTATTTTTAATTCAAAAATGTAATTTGTTTTTAAATGAATATGCATATATTAAAAAAAAAAAAAAAAAAAAAACCCACCCACTAAGCCGATCTAATAAGTGGCAGATTGCGTTGTGGTAGCCTATCCCTATCAGAAGCCCAGTTCGGCCCGCCTAATAACTCAATCGAGTAAGAATTTAGGTCTACTCTAGTCAAGTCCAGTTCAAAAAAAACTTCACGAGCCCGGTCCATGAACACCCCTGTGTAGAAGTATAATGTTAAATGTGATAGTTATGTACTATTTAGGGGTTCACAAAGCAACATAGTGGTTTATTATTGAATTATGATACTACGCGGTATTCACAAAATTGTGGTATCACCCTAGAAACGACTATCCCCCCCCCCCCCTCTTCAACGACTATTTTCATTTACTCATATTGCCTATGTATGTATCTATATTAATATACAGGACTTTGGAGTTAAAGTGATGCTCCAACAAAATCTGTTCTTGGTGGATATTGTAAAGGAAAATGTGGGTATAGTCTTAAAACTTGACTCCATTGAAGGTGGGAAGTCATGGAAACAGATTGACATGCTTATCTTCAACACATTTCAATGGTGGAATCGGCGAGCACCAAGACAACCGTTCTTTCGTTTGCTCGTTCAACTATTTATTTTCCTAAATTTTCTTCACTAAACAAATCTCCTAGTCAACGTGGATTGTTCTAAAATAGAAGAAATTTTGTGTTGTTGGCTTATAGATGGGATTATATTCAAGTTGGAGGGAGATTGTACAAGGATATGGATCGGATGGTTGCTTTTGAGAAGGCACTCACTACATGGGCTGGCTGGGTGGAGTCCACCATTGGTCCTAGAATAAATAGGGTTTTCTTTCAAGCAATCTCTCCAAGCCGTTACAAGTGTTTTCTTTCAATGAACTTATGCAGGACTCTCTTAGGAGTTGGGATTAGTTTTTTGGCAGAGAAAGTATGATGAGCCCTAATATTTGTACATTCTACGATAAATTAAAACAAAAAAAGGCCGTACTAAATACACAAAACTCACAATTATAACCAAGTCTGAGAGTTATTTGAGAGGGCAATTCTTGGACACCAATCTACATATCACTTGGACAGATTAACACTTGCAATTCGCAAACATGACGGCAACTAAGCGCATATAAAAAGATATGTACAAGAAGATTAAACGATGAAGTTAAAGGACACAATGCAGCTTTTGTCGAAATCTTTTGGAACCAACAGTTGGTGTTATGAAAAAACAACAGATACATAGCTACTTGTTAATTTGATCATTGTTTGTATGTTTTTTTAAGGAGGGTGGTCAGCTTCTAATGAAGTTTCTTAATGCTAATACTTTCTGTTTCACACATCAATCAGCCACGTTTCGTGTGTTTTCTTTGATTATTTATTTTTGTATAATCGTCAAAATCTTTATATACTTTAATTATCAGTGGCTCTGAATGGAATGAACCAAGAGCAAAGGCCTGTTTGGGGCAGAAGGAACCAATATTAAGCTCAACATATCATGGAATTGTACCACCAGCTGTAGCAATAGTGGAAAGAGTGTTGAGCAGAATTCGAAAGCCTGTCAAGTTGCCGAACATAACACATCTTTCGCAGCTACGTAAAGATGGACACCCTTCCATCTATGTCGTAAGCAGCCCAACCGGACTTGACTGCACCCATTGGTGTGTCACCGGAGTGCCTGATACTTGGAATCAAATACTTTACAATACTATTCTTTGAACGTTTTGCCAAACATGGTTCTTTACCTTTTTCTGGTCTGATCACTACTCTTTAACTTGCATTTTACAACTTAACAGACAATTTTTGATACAAAAATGAGACTGTTACTGTAACTGCTTTGAATTCCTTCATCTATTGGAACTATTATTTGTTTGCTGCTCCTTGGGCTGGTGTTACTATTTAGTTATATATGGGTGTGGCTACAATACCTGCTGTGAGAGTGAGACCTCGACCCAAGAAGGATGATATGAGGCGAGGCGAGGCGAGGCGAGGCTAAATTGTTAAGACCATCTAAATATGGTCGTACCTTAACCATCAAGACAAGATGATATGAAGAACACCATGGTCAGGCTGGGGCATTACAAGGTGGTATCCAAACGGGCTAACCTAGCTTTTACAAAATGGGCAATATCTTGATGGCAGGGCTGGGGATTTTGTGATACATTGCTATACAATTATGTATTTGCAAAGAAACCTACCTGATTCCTCTCTGGAAAGAAGAGGAAAGGGGGTGTAAATACAAGCAATAAAAAGCAACAGAAAAAGGGAATATAATCATTCAAAACTTATGCATTTACTTAATTACAGCTTGCAAGCAATTAACCCACCGTGGCACAATGTACTCTGATCCAAGATCAGTAAATCAGAGACTACATATAAACAATAATAAATTTAAACTATTTCTATATCCTTATATAATTAAATCACATCAAATCATCCATACATACAAAAACCAACAAGCTATTGGCTTAAATATATGCCATATAAACACTAACAGTACAATCTTAAGTGTAATCCTTGACATAAGTGAAGCAGCACAATGTCACACCCTATAGCTCCATGGACATAAGTATCCTCTGATCTTTTGACAAAGGAGATGAAGCAACTTCAACAATCTGCAAAGGTCAAACCAATAAGCTACGAGATATTTGTTCAGTCATGTTAGAAAACAAGACTAATTTTATTTCAGAACAGCAATCAATAAGCAATTTTAGCAATACGGGCATGATGTTATATGGATTACCTGGGTTAATGTGCAAATGGCAAATTCATGGCGAAAGGTATTTTCTAACATAAAATATCGTACCCGATGAACAATACCCCATCTAAGCACAACTGCACAAGTCGGGGGGTAAGAGAAGAAATATTCGTAGATATACTCTTGAGAACCAGCACCATTTGACAATGAATTAGGACACGTGCATCAAGTACTTAATAGAAGTCAAAATCAAAAAGCAAGCTACAAGAGATGTGGGAAGTTTAGATGAATGTAGCCAACACATCCACAGTAAATCAATTATGGAACACTAAAATTGTCTTAGGCCACCTACATAGCTACTTTCCTCAATTCAAGGAGGTGGGGGCAACAGAATGGATATAGACCTAATCTAACTTATTTGCAAAAAGTCAACACCCTCGTACTCAACCACATCCTCACATCATAATCCAAACAACCTGAAGAAACACAGGAGGGAAAGCTGCAAAAGACTGAAACCATGCAAAAAGCACAAGAGGTTTATGCGGTTGGGCTCAAAGCTTGCATCCACATATGAAGACAATTAATAAATTTCCCAGTGAAAGGCTACCAGATGGCCACACTCCAAATTCTCAAAGCTAACCTCAGCAATAGAAACTAGAATATCAGAAACCAACTAGTTCCAGAAGACATTCCTCAAAGGCCACCAAGAGGGAACAAAAGGATGAGAACAAATCTAGAAGTTCCTTGGTAGTAAAAAGCTCCAAGGGCAAAATCATTCTGAGTACTGCTCACACAACTAAAAGCATACATATCGTCAGGCTTGAACATGCACACGGAGCTAAATAATAGAAATATGATACTTAAACATTAGGTAATGGATCAGGTGCCAACCTTAAACCCAGTTTTTTTGTACAGTTCCTGGGCAGGTTCATTGTCTGCATTTACATGAACAAATAGTTGCTTCATACCTGTTGGCACACTCAAAAACAAAAGCAGAAATAACTTTCAAAATGATGATAACCATACAGTAAATCAATGCACAAGCCTTCAATAAAAATCAGGGAAAAAATGTATGCCAATACAGAAGTCCAGGACATTAAATTATTTATAGTCTCATAGTTCACACATAGTACCTGCTAAGGTAGCAACATCAGTAGCCAAATATAGCATGTTTGAAGCAATCCCCTGGCGTCGAGCAAATTTTGAAACACAAACATTGGCAATGTAAGCATACTTGTGTGCATCGAAGGGTTCTTGACTGGCCAAGACAGCGGACAGTCTTTTTTCCTCCTGGAGACAATAAAAATAAAGAGCAAACATGATGAGGACAACTCCTTTGTATGTAGGCACCCATTGCAATTTCCACCAAGGAATGGAGTGAACCAGTGCAGGGGGGAGTCCAAGATAAGCATGTGAGGCTGCCTACTAAACAGCCTTGCTTTTAAAAAATAAAATAGAAAGGAGAAAGAAATATCAGAAAAGCAGAAGGCTCTCCTAACAGGAAAGAATGTAAAATAAAGAAAATGAAAAAAAGATAAGCACACAGAACCATAGGACATCCACTATGCCCCATGAGATGTAAAAATAGACACAATTGAGAGAGGTAAATCACCGCATCTCAGCAATGCAAAGCTATTCTAAACTTTGCTAGACATGAGCCAAAAAGACAGTCAAAATAAGATCAGGTGTGTACCCCTGGATATAATTCCCCCTGCAAAAATTGCCTGATGCTTAGGTCCAGAGTTCCCACAACACTTTTCAGGACAGTTCTCCTAGCATTTTTCTCTTCCTTTTTTACCTGAAATGTAGGACAAGGAATTGCAACCAAAAACTCTCAAACCCAACAAGAGCACAATACCTGTAAATAGAAAATATAGTTCACATTTTTAAAAGGGATCTTATATGTCAAAAGATGAGGCAAGCATTGCATTGGAGATTCCTTCTGTTTCTTTTTTTCCCTGGAAAGGATTCCTGCAGTTTCATATTAAGGAACATGTAAACCAACACTTTCGGAAACACATTTGGTTTCAAAACCACAACATGGACATCCAATAGGTCTGGCTCATTTTTTTCATTAGATAAAATAGGTCTGCTCATATAATTAAAACTTATAAAATTTCTACAAAAACTTTTGGAACATTGTTTTGTTAGATATGGAGAATTTAAAATAAAACAAAAAAGTGAAACCCTAATAGAATTGACAGATCCAAACTTCATCAAAAACTCATGAATAGATGCTATAGCATACAGCTAAAAGTTAATTTGTTAAAAGGGTATCATTTAAGTTACCACTCAAAGTGGAAGTCAGTGATTACTTCAAATGTTTTGTCCTTAATTGTCCACAATTTGCAGCACAACAAAAGCACAATCACTGTCAACATGCATCCCAATAAATGACAATTGGTTATAAATGTTTTTTGGCTTTGGGGGTAAGGGGGGCAAGCACATCATTTAAAACATTTGTTCCTAATGTGATTTGGAAGTCTCACAGATAAGCTTCAGTAATTGTATCACGCTGTCAGCATACCATGCAAATGGGTTATCAACTCCAATTTATAACTGTAAATATGTTAACCTTTCTTGTCCAACCAAAAATTTTTCCCACAATAAACTCAAAAGCTATACAAGTAATATTTTGACACTGGGAAGAGAAAAGTAAATTTGAAGCTGTGATGAAATTTTGGAATCCTTACAAGATAATAACAGCTACCAAAAAAGTTTGGACCCCACATACCCTCTCATGATGAGAGATAAACAGAAAAATAATCCCTGCAGATTTTTCTTACATATTGCCTTTCACCATGACTGAATATAGGGGCAACCTCCCTGGACTACTACATAAAATAACTGATCACCACATCAAGAGGTAAACCACCCAGCAGGGTACAACCCTGCAGCACCATTCAGACCCTCGACAAAAGCATTAAATTCAAATCAGGTGCTTGTGCTAAAAGCTTATCTTATCTCTGGCATGCTTTATCTTGGAGATTCCTAAACCAATCCTTTCATAAGACCTATGAGTTTATTACAAGTTCAACCCAAAACATGCAGTCAAACAGCTATTAAGTTTCGTTTGGAAAAAGAAAAACTTGATATCGAAAAAGGGTACCCACTTTTCAATTCAATTCCATGTCTTTAACCGTCAGCTAGAATTGTTTGCACGAAATCCAAATGCATTTAGATTTAAAAAGAAGTAAAGCATGAGTAATCTGAGACATCAGGTATTCAGTACAAGTTATACGCCAATGCTCAACAGTCCATTTTGATAGAAGAATGATAAGAAACCACCCTTCACTGGAATGAACAGTATCAAAAAATTGTTACTATGCTAGCTGGTATAGGCATGATGTATCATTTATCTCCTCTATCAAAAATTATGTATATCCAAGTGGAAAACATGAAAAGATGACCATGATGATAAAAGAGTAATCAGAAGACCAATGCCTCCTCCATCTCCGTTAAAGGTGTAGAACAGCAGTCTAGTTACCTTCTGATTATTAAACATAATAAACTACTAGCAATCGGAAACTACCAACAGTCAAGGACACCAAACCATGTAGTCTGTTTCCAATTAATCAGAGCATCACAACTGCAGTTTCCACTGCTTAAAAGAATTGATATCATATAGAAGATTTAAACCTAAAATGTCTTCTATATGCTGATTACATAATAGTGTGGAGCTTAAAATTTCAATGTTCCTATTTGATCCAAAATTAGGTATTTTACAAACAACACAGCTGACATTCTGCCAAAATAGCTACTTTCATGCTACAAGCAAGTCAAGGAAAGATTTGCATTATCCTCACAGGAAAGGCTATTAGTGTCAAAATAACTGTTTGATTTCGAACATAAACACATCAAACAGCTCAAATCTCATTCATCATTAATTATGTTGCAATTATAACAAAAGAGACCTTGGTATGTGAAAACAAATACCACCTTTAAAGAGAGGTTCAAAATAGAAGCGAAGAATTACATCACACAACCAATTACCAATAATCTAACCCACTATATTTTCCAATTAAAAGCAATTTCAGAGTATGAGCCCCTCCACCCCCACCCCCCTAAAAAAAAAAAGAAAGGTAATCATGAATAGTTGACATACTGAAACAAAACAGAAGCACTTCAAGGAATTTCCATCCTGCCCAAGACATCGTCGCTTCAAAGCGTAGAATTCCTGCATACTGAAGGGTTATGCCACAAAGTAACGCATAAAGCCTATAGGAACGATGCAGAGTAAAGAAAAAGGAAGAAGAAAAGTTCTGAATGATATTTCACATTGTTACAAAATTTACAAATATGATTCCCAATATATCCCTGCTTCCTAGCCCATCAAAGATGGCATATTACAGAGAAAATCTTGAACATACACATGTTCAATTATACAAGGCCATCAATAAAACTGTTTTTTCTCCTCCCTTCTATACATTTATAATTCATTTTTCACATAAAATACATTTGAGATTCTTACACTTCAATTTTCACTAAATTCATTTCAAAACCTCTCACAATAAATGTATTTGTTTTGCACCTTACCTGTTCAGCATACTTTCTTTTATAACTATCTGCATGCCTGAAAATTGATAAAATTGTCATAGTTAATAGTTAATACTGAAAAAAATGAAACTTCGCAAATATAAAGCATAGAGAATTTGGTATAACTTGTGTCTGTGCATGTCCATTTGTGAGAGAGAGAAAGGGAGAGGGAGGCATGAGAGTTGGGGCCCAGGTGAACCTTTCAAGAAACATCAGAAGTATATATGCATGTAAGCATGGAACTGACCGCATATATGATAAGGATTCCCAGTGAGCTTCTGCTCGCAGCCATGCTGCTGTCTGCCATGCAAAGTGAGACATGGAAACAAGAAGTACACTGAAGTACTTTTAGAAAAATAAACAGAAGAAGAAGCTATGTATCTCAAACAGAAAGTACGAAAGAAAGAGCAAAACCAACCCAATATTCTTCATCCAGCACAGCTTCACGAGCAACAAAACGACCAAAGTTTCGCTTTTGTAATCCACAATAGTCCTGATCGCTGGGCTGTAGCCGGTTGAAAGAGAATTCAGATGGTTTTAAGTTATCACTCTTACGAACTGCTGCGTGTTGGATATTTTGATCATTATTGCAATGGACTTCAAAAGTTTTCCATCTACTATATGAAACAGGAAACATCTCCCTGGAAGGATTCGAAGCCCAATGGAGGGGAAACAAGAAAAAAAGGAGTGTGAGATGACAGAATAATAAGAAAAAATGCAAATAACCATAATCCTATCAACCATGGCTATTCAAATCCCAATTCCTAATTCATAAGATGTTAATGGATTGGAGTCTGGATCTTATAGGATTGTAGGATTCCAATCCGAATTGCAATTTTACCCATCCAAGTTGTTGGGTTTGTTTGTTGGGCGCATTTAGTTATTAACCTAACCTAATTTTTATTTACTTTTTTAATTCTTAAAGACTAAATCCAACTGAGATTTTCTCGTACAATTGTCAACCTATTGGAGAATTTTGGCAAATGAGAATATTTACAAAAAGTTTCCCTTGTTACAGTAAGCTTTCTTCATTTGTTCGTCTCTCATTGAAATATTGAAACAACGGTTAGGTTTGATCTCTTCTCTGGCTGAGTGGCTATAGCTAGATAGTCTTCTATTGTCATTCTCTTCTAGTTTTTCTTTTATGTGGAGTAATCGAAGTTATTTATTCAATTGGGTCTCAACTTTCCAGTCTCTCCCCAATATCCATATCTCTCTTAAATTTAAAATCAAAATACTTCAATTCTCATATTACTCTTCGCAAAATCGCACAAGATTATTAGCCCAAGTTTAATTTTCAACCGTCTTCAATACTTAGAGTGTAGTTTCTCAAACTTTAATCCTATCTATAAGTTTTATATATGTCATAACTTTTCTATTTACATATATAGTAGGCTTGTTTAATTCTTGTTTTTCAGAATCCTGTATTGCTATATACATTTTCCGCCACATTTTCTCAGTTCGTAAGATCTTTCAATTTACAATCGATCCTACGATCCTAATCCTTTGAACTCCAACATCAAGCCAACGTAAGATCCTTATTTTAAAAACCTTGCTATCAACCATATAATTGCAAAACTATTTAATTTTACCTAACTCACCTCCATTGTTCAATAATAATCCATCTTGATAACAATAATGACAAAATCAAACAAGGTTTTCACACACTTCATCCATCTTTTAGCATTAATGATTCAAACATCAATTTATTCAAGTGGTCTAACTTTCATTACATAATCTAACCAAACTAGGACAAAAGTCACTCATTTCTTTGACCCACATTAGTTTCTAAAATTGTTGTAACAAACTAAAAGGAAAATATTAGAAAGCAAACGAAAATAAGCAATTTCTAGTCTTCATCTATATGGGGTTTTACCCATTTTTGATTCTATCCGTTTTACAACTTTCTTTTGTCAAATCTCAGGGCATGGTCTAATCATGAGGGTCATCTTTCATCAAGGGGTCATATCTCAAGTTTTTATGAATTCCTTCTTTGTTAATAGTATAGAGGTCATCATCGTAACTATGTTGACCTGGTAACACACAAAAAGTGAAGTGCTGAAAACAGCATAGGAGCCTTCAGAAAAACAACTACTTACCCAGAGAAGGAAAAAGACAAAACAAAGATTTCTACAATCCCTGCACCCTTGATTACGGATATGGATAACAACTCCAATTTTGGTATGTGTTAAACCAAGAGTAATGCTATATTGCCCAAATTGTATCCCAAAAAACTCATCCCAAATGTGTTGGCACCTTCACACACCACACACTTTATGATAAAACTGATTTAAATGTGTGGTGTGTGAAGGTGAAGGTGCCAACTCATTTGGGATGAGTTTTTTGGGATACAATTTGGGCAGCATAGCATTACTGTTAAACCAATGGGGTAGAGAGAGTTCCACTGGGCACAAGCCTAACATTTGCAGTATGAGAAATAATTAGAACCCAGAACCTTACAGTTTTTAGCTCTGATCACTCCACCCAGTTCGTATAAATTGCATTGTCAGCAACCGAATATCATAAATTAGACCCATTACAATTATGGGCACAAATATATTATCTGTCTCAAATAAAATAATCATACGTATATGAGAAACAATTAACTGTATCAAGAGAATAGTTTTGCAACAATATACCTGAAGTTGCCAACGACAACAAGAGAGTAGCGTTTGGTGCGCTTGGAGAGCGGCCATGTGGTCGTTTGGGGCAGACGAACTTTGAATTGAGGCACAAATTTACCTTTCAGAATCTCCATTACCTCTTCGTACTCTCATGTGATACCCAAAATGTAGAACCCTAATTCGATAAAAATGATTATGGCAATATATTCATTCACAGAGTGTGTGTGTGTGTGTGTGTGTGAGTGTGAGAGAGAGAGAGAGAGCAAAGGAATGCAAAGGCGAAGCCAAAATCGACGAAAAAATTGCGTAGTTTTATTACCGAAATGGGGAAGGCTTGAATGATGTCGGTCAACGTGGGAGCCACGTGGCAGCAGAAAACAACCCTACACAACACATCATCCACTAACTTTTTACACTTTCTCCTTTTCTCAATTGAGTTTCTAAATTAACTCAAATATGGCATCAATCTTACACATTAAGGAAGGGCGTATGGCGGCAGAATAATATAAGTTCGACGAAAATAGTTTTAAGCATCTTTAAACTTTATGTTTGGATTTAAAATTTAATCTTAAATTTTTAAACCCAATTCATAATTGACTCAAAGATTAAATTCATGATTATGAATTTCGTCAAATTTAGGAGAAGATGGGTTTAGAAAGATGTGTTAAGAGGTTAAGAATACAAAAGACAATTATATCGTTTAACATAGTATGAATTGAATTGATCAAAAGTAAAATAGTCAATTAAAAGACAAATAATTATTAATAATTATAATATATTTGTAGGTCATATATATATATGTGTGTGTGTGTGTGTTGCATACCAAATATGGGTATAAATCAGATTCAATGTTGAATTTCATCTTTGTAAAGAGGGGTTTGAATTTGGAAGGGTGTGAGAAAGCCANTACCAAATATGAGTATAAATCAGATTCAATGTTGAATTTCATCTTTGTAAAGAGGGGTTTGAATTTGGAAGGGTGTGAGAAAGCCAATCCAAACCCTCCCCAAAAATTCATTCAAACAAACCCTTAAATATTTGGTATAAATTAGTGGATTCCACTAATCTAAGCATCTACATTGATTTAGAATATAAAATTTAATAAATATAACTGATGATCCCAGTTCTAATTAGGTCAAGCCTAATAAATCAAGCAAACTCAAGTCAGCTAAAAGACAGCCTAAGCCCACTTTACCGATCTGATACAATCCAAAATCCGAGGAGATCAGGAAGATAAAAATACGTGAGAGAGAGAATATCGGGATATACACTCATTAAGATCAATCCTACATTAATTGTACTTACCAAAGAGGTGGTGCCCTCTCTCTTACGTCATCGTCTCACCAAATCTATATATTGTAAGCTCTCTCCACATGAAGAGGCATCTCACACACACATCTCAACGCACCTTGGCATACCTCTGCACACTAATTTTATCTTTCCTAACCATTACAATTCTCCTGGAGTGTGTTCTCTCAGTTACTTTATTCATCAATAAAGACCTCTAGCCACCACTACATTTCCCGATAGTAGAGTAAGTCACTCAGACCGAACCACTATATATCTGCGTGTTTGNAATTCTAATTAGGTCAAGCCTAATAAATCAAGCAAGCTCAAGTCAGCTAAAAGGCAGCCTAAGCCCACTTTACCGATCTGATCCAATCCAAAATCCGAGGAGATCAGGAAGATAAAAATACGTGAGAGAGAGAATATCGGGATATACACTCATTAAGATCAATCCTACCTTAATTGTACTTACCAAAGAGGTGGTGCCCTCTCCCTTATGTCATCATCTCACCAAATCTATATATTGTAAGCTCTCTCCACATGAAGAGGCATCTCACACACACATCTCAACGCACCTTGGCATACCTCTGCACACTAATTTTATCTTTCCTAACCATTATAATTCTCCTGGAGTGTGTTCTCTCAGTTACTTTATTCATCAATAAAGACCTCTAGCCACCACTACGTTTCCCGATAGTAGAGTAAGTCACTCAGACCGAACCACTATATATCTGCGTGTTTGCCCATATTTACTGTTTTGCCTCATTAATTGCATCTCTTCATATACTCTATTATTGATCTTGCACGAAACCAATTTGTGCATCATCAGTTTGGTGTCGTCTGTAAAAAATGACTAAGTTTTCTATCCTCTTCTAATTCATGGCAATCACAACCAAATCGATGAGTCAACAACCGGGAGACAACAACCCGGCCAATCAAGAGGAGGCTCTGCCTCCCCTCGCACCCTCAGAACCATTTACTACTGCAACTCCCGTCGTCGGGCAACAACTTTTACAGACCATGCAGCTACTGGTAAATCAAAACCAGCAATCATCCAACTGATGCTCACCTCGGAAGGCGCTGCCCCTCAGCCTATGGGAGCAGTACTCCCCCCGATTGGAGAAGTGCCACAACCTCACCACTCTGGGTGCTAGGGTGTTCCTCCACTACACGCATACACCACACATACTCTTCTTCCTCATGTACCTGCACCACACACAGTTGACCACCTCAAGTAGGAGGATGAGGGGGAGAACCAGTATGCAGATCATAAGAGCTACTACCATGATCCGACAAAACATGTTCCCAACCAATGTGANACTATTGATCTTGCACGAAACCAATTTGTGCATCATCAGTTTGGTGCCGTCTATAGAAAACGACTAAGTTTTCTATCCTCTTCTAATTCATGACAATCACAACCAAATCGATAAGTCAACAACCGGGAGACAACAACCCGGCCAATCGAGAGGAGGCTCTGCCTCCCCTCGCACCCTCAGAACCATTTACTACTGCAACTTCTGTCGTCGGGCAACAACTTTTACAGATCATGCAGCTGCTGGTAAATCAAAACCAGCAATCATCCAACTGATGCTCACCTCGGAAGGCGCTGCCCCTCAGCCTATGGGAGCATTACTCCCCCCGATTGGAGAAGTGCCACAACCTCACCACTCTGGGTGCTAGGGTGTTCCTCCATTACACGCATACACCACACATACTCCTCTTCCTCATGTACCTGCACCACACACAGTTGACCACCTCAAGCAGGAGGATAAGGGGGAGAACCAGTATGCAGATCATAAGAGCTACTACCATGATCCGACAAAACATGTTCCCAACCAATGTGACGAAAAGATCAAAGAGGTGCAGGACTAGTTTGGCGATGCCCTCAACCCTATCAAAGCACAAGCGCTAGAGACAGTGGATTACTTGGTAAGGTGCACTGACACCCCGTTTATGGTAGATGTTGTCGACTACCCTTTACCCTTAAAGTTCAAGATGCCCACCATTGAGATCTTTGATGGCACCAAAGATCCCATCGACCATCTCGACACATAAAAATCTCTCATACAACTCCACAACGTGCCTGATGAGATTATGTGTAGAGCCTTCCCTACCACCCTCAAGGGATCCACACGTCAGTGGTTCGCTAACTTCAACCCTTCTTCCATCCACTCTTTTGCAAAGTTAAGCAAGTCTTTCGTCTCTCACTTCATTAGGGGACACCGACACTAGAAATTGGTTACCCATCTGCTCACCATCAAGTAGGACCTAGATGAAAGCCTTAGACAAGGTAACCATGGCTGCCTTTATCGCAAGTTTGTGCCCCTCTAGTTTCATGTTCTCTATCCTAAAAAAGCCATCATCCAGTATTCCCAAGTTGTTATCAATGGCACAAAAGTATATGAACGTCGAGGATGTCACCAAGGCTAGACAGGGTGAGTCCTCTCACAGGGGCGAGAAGAGGAATGACAAGCGTAAGGAAGAGCGAGAAGCTGAGAACAAAAGGAATAGGACAGAGAGAATCTCTGTCAAGGACCGCCTTGGTCCGCCGTCTCTGAGAGAACGACAAGCCTTCATGTCGCTCAATGCGTCCGTGGAGCATACCTGTTCCAAATACAGGATGATTCTATAGTACGTTGGCCAGTTAAAATGAAAAGCATCCCGAATCGTAGGAACCTGAACAAGTACTACCGTTTCCACCACGACCACGGCCATGATACTGATGACTGTTTTGATCTTAAAAGGCAGATCGAAGAACTCATACAGCGTAGCCAGCTGAGGCAGTACGTGGCTGGCTGAGAACCAGTTCCACTACCTGGTTAAAATCAGGAGGATCGAGAACATCAGCAACCCCTCGAAGAAATCCAGACTAGCTCTTGAGGGCTAAGAGGAGAAAGCGACTCCAACTCCGCCACAAAAGCCTTGGCCCACCTATGGGACGCCAAACACTTGAAATGTCATTATCAATAACGAGTACAAGCTAGTGGCTCTCATTTTATCTATCCCTTATTGTTTTCAGTTGATTTATTCTGTTATTTATTATTTTATGAAATAAAATTATGTGAAGATTATTGTGTCCATAATTGTCTTTCTTTTATAAAGTTTGGAAAAAGCTTACAAAAGTCATAATATAGACCTAACAACAAGGTACACAATTGTCGTTATATTCCCGATGATCAGTCACTGCTCCCCGAGGCTCTGGTACCTCATATGGGACAAGACCAAAATCAAGTTAAAAACAAGGAAATACCTACATCGAGGAAGGAAAAAATATGGACATTAGATAACATACCTCTTGAATTCTGTTTGTCCATGTGAATGCCTCGACGCTGCCCAAACAACTCGAGGCGAGCAACACGAAGCACCAAGCGCCCAACACCAGGCTCCCAATTCCAGGTGCTCAACGCCTCTCAGGCTCCCAGGTCCCCCAACACCTCTCAAATGCCCAGCACCCCTCAGCGCCCTCCTCATCTCCATCTCAATGGAATGAGCCTCTGCCACGACAGCCCTCTCTCGAGCTATACGAAGCTCGGCCTCAACTCCGGCGGCCCTCTCACGGGCGCTTGTAGCATTGACTCTATTCTCGTACAGATAGTCACCTTATCAATTTTCAGCTTTGCACTCTCTTGTGAGTCGCAAAGAAGTTCAGTTTTATCTTATCTCTGCTCTCAAACAGTCTATGTATCTAGCTTCACACTCTCTTGTGAGTCGCAAAGAAGTTCAGCTTTATCTTATCTTTGCTCTCAAACAGTCTATGTATCTAGCTTCACACTCTCTCGTTAGTCACCAAGAAGCTCCGCCTTATCCTACATCTCCTCCCAAGTAGTCTATGTATCTAGCTTCGCACTTTCTCGCAAGTCACAAAGAAGCCCGGCCTTATCCTACCTCTGCTCCCAAGTAGTTTATGTATCCAACTTCACACTCTTTTGCGAGTTTCCAAGAAGCTCGACT